GACAGAATGGGACGCTGACACAGTAAGGAGGTGACAGGGATTTAGGGCAGCAGTGACTCTGAACCTGCTCTTGGCAACACTTCCTGTGTGGCATTCCTGCACCAGGCTGAGCGGGCTGTGGAGCTCTGTGCTCTGGGAAGAGGCCTCTAATGTGCCGTGATGGATTCCTAGACCAGCACAAGGTGCAGAGGAGTGGGAAGCTGTCATCCTGCTCATGCAGTAAAAAGCAGCCGTAATAACAATGAGAATTTAGGAGCTTGCTAATTCCAGGCCAGGCTCTGCTCTGTCTGCTTTAAATGCATTGATGAATTTATTCCTCAGCCACTTAGGGAATTTTGCTCTCGTTTTCACAGATGAAGAGACTGAAGTTCAGAGAAATCAGGAAGATGGCTCCGGGTCATGGTGCTATGTGTGACCAAGGGTTCAGGCTTACATCTGGCTGACTTCAAAGTTCAGAGTCTGAAAGAGCTAACTGAAGGCACCAGTGCCACAGAATCCTGTGGTCAGGCTGGGCTGCAGATACGTTTGGTTTGGCTCACTTGGTGTTTAGTTCTGTTCTAATTGCTTGGCAACAGCTAAGGATTGGAGATGTCACTTGAAACACCACTGTCCTGATCTCTCTAAACAGAACCATAGGATCCAACCACCCTGGGCCCACCCCCTCATCTAGTGACATGAGTGGGGCTGCCCCTGTAGCTAAAGCATTTGCTCTGCATATTTCTAAAGGACCTACCAGTCCCTACCACCCTTGTCACCCACCATCACACTCAACACCCATGGAGCAGGCATCTGATTTGAGGACATCTACTCTGCATGGTCTATGAAAAGCACAAGGACAGGGTAAGCCTCCTACTCAGGAAAGGTCTGCTTTTTCCCCATTCCTCCTTGGCCTTTTACTCACCAGGGTAAGGCCAAGGTGCTAAGGCACAAAGCATCCCCTGCTTCATGTCCTTAATGGGTAAACAGAAGCCCACAGAGATGCCTATTGCTGCTGTAGTATACCATACATTTTTCTGCCTTGAATCATTACACATTTATTCTTTTACAGTTATGGAGGTCAGCAGTACAAAATTGGTCTTATCGGCTCAAACTGACTTATTAATAGTGCTGTGCTCCTTCTGAAGGCTGTAGGGGAGAATCAGTGTCACTGCCTTTCTCAGCCTCTGAGAAGCCACCGGCATTCCTCGGCTTGTGGCTCCTCCTCTGTCTTCAAATCCAGCATCACAGTATCTTCAAATCTCCTTCTGGCTCCCCCTTTTAAGGACACTTGTTATGACATTGGTCCCACCCAGCTAACTTGGAATAATTGTGCCAGCTCAAGAGTTTTAACTTTGTAACATCTGAGAAGTCCACTGTGCCTTACGCAGTGACATAGTCACAGATTTTAGGAACAGATGTGAGCTTCTTTGCAGCCATTGCTCAGCTTGCCACAGTGGACTTGCTCAAGGTACTGTGCAAGGATTAGGCGTAGCAGGGACCAAGACAGGAAGGGAAGAGAGGAAGGAAAGAGCCTGAAGGAAGACTTAAGATGTGTTATAACATGTGTCTACCCCCTTCCCATCAGAAGTGTAATTGCTGTGTACAGCAGACAAAAGAATTAGCAGGCAGCGGAGCTCATGGCTGCATTTTTCTCAGTTCCCTTTTTTTGACACTATACAGCTTCCTCTGAAAGAAAGTGCTTAAATTCTGATGTTTTCTAGGGAGTGGGCAGAATTGAGCAGGGAAAAAACTAAGTGAGGAAACCCCTAAGTGGCCAGGGCATGGGCTCTTTGTGGTGAGCACCAATGGGACACATACCCGGAGTGCTAATGGACCCAGAGCAGCTCCTGTGTTCCTGGGCTCCGGCAGACACATGGCCATCGCCCCATGTCCCCACCCTCCTGTCTCATCCCTTTCATAGACCTTTCCTGAAATGCATATCTGAATGCTTCTGTTCAAACACAACAGCCTCCAGGGTAGAATCCAGATTCAGTGTCCAGCATTGCAGGCTGGGTGGCTTGGCTCCCGATAACCATCTCCACCCTTCTGATAGGGAAGGAGCCCTTGCTGTGGAGCCAGGAGCCTGGCCCTGATGTCCTGTTTACTCCAAGCATATTCCCACTTCACATTCATTCTCTTGTCTCCTCCGCACAAATACTTGTGAGTGGTTGACTCTGATGCACAAGGAAATGTACCACACATGGAGTGGTTTGCCTGACGCCACACAGCTATTCAGATCTGAAGTTCGAACCCAGCTCTTTTGGCTTTCTGAGGTGGCTCCCTGCATGCTGTCACCACAGGAGCTGCCATGCTTTGTGGGCTCAGCAAATGCGTGCAGAGGGAGTGGGTACCTGGGCTCTCTCTCCTAAGCTCTCGCAGTTCCTGCTCCCGCAGCCTCCTGTCGGGAAGTGTTGTAAATTGAAAACCAATGGCATCGCCAGCCTCTGACAGCCTCTCTGGTGCTGGAGGAATAATTCATGCTGCATGACTGGGGCCTCAGATGACAAAGCCTGCCAGAATTTAGCTCCTGCCCAGCCCTGAGATGCAGTTTGCAGCCATGGCAGCTGGGGGGACTGGCTGGGAGTCCTCTCCTCCTGTCACCAGCTGGGAGGTTGAGGCAAGCAGCTTCACCTGTCTGCTCACCCCTTCCTCTCCTTCACTGGGCTCATAAGTGGGGATAAGCTGAATGGGCAAGGCAACCTGTCCCCACCCCCACAGCACAGTACGTCTGTGGGTGTCACCACAGGGCTGAACCCACTGGTCAGTGCAGTCGTTTCATTAACAGTTCACTGCTAACCCTCTAACCTGCCCTGAGTGCAGGTAGCAAGGCTGTGGCCGGCTTGCTCTCAGTGGTGACTGTATTTGCCTGTAGTTGTTATTGTTTTCTTGGTGCTGTTAATAAGAGGAAGGGCCCCTGGCCGGGGCAGCCTGCACAGGGCCTGGACATTCCTGCTGCATCCTGGCCCTCTGCTCCATGGCTCTCCGTACACCTACACTAACAGCACCACAAATACTGCTCTGGAAAGCCACCTCTTCCCATGGTTTCTGTCCCCAGGCTGTTGATGCACAGAGGTTCATTTTACTAAGTTGGTTATTTTCATCCACCCTATTCTGTTACTCACACGTGCCAAGTACTGGCAACACGCACACCTGTAACTTCATGCTGTACACGCTTGCATTTTCCATGTTTGTGACTGACCTGAAATTTCATGAAACTATACCTTCATAGTCTTCTTGATTGTTGTATCAGAAATGTTCAGTCCTTCTAATACTGAGCTCTCACTTAAGCCTCCATCCCTCTGGGAAATATTGGGATAGGACAAGGATGACTCCCTGAGAGTGTGTTGAAATTTCATTCATCTGACATATTTTACTGAATACCTGCTATGTAGCAGGCAAAGGGCTGTAGGTGGAGAAAAGGAGGATGAACAAAGTAACCTGGTTCTGGCCTATCTGGAGCTTAGAGTTGAGAAGGGTCAAGCAGTAAGAGTGCATGAAGTGTGTACAGTCATCCTTTAATATGCTGGGGCTTTGTTCTAGGACTTCTGCAAATATCAAAACCCATGGATGCTCAAGTTCCTTATGTAATGGCACAGTATTTGCATAGAACTTACACACATCCTCCTGTACTTACAATCATCTCCGGATTACTGACGGTATCTAATGCTATGGAAATGGTAATTAAGTGCATTGTTTAGTGAATAACGACAAGAACAAAATCTGTAAGGGTTCAGCACAGATGTATTTTTTTTTTTCAAATAGCTTCCATCCATCCGTGGCTGCAGGAGCACAGCCAGGGAGGATCCATGCCTCACCCAGGACAAACAGGGTGGGAGGCTGCAGGAGAGAGCAGAGGAGACTTCACCACCGGTGGGCAAGGCCAGGGGACAAGGAGAGGGACCACAGGCTGTAGGAGGAGGGTGCGGCCCTGGAAGGCAGCCCAGAGGTGGCTGAGTTTGTGTGGCCGCTCCCATGTGGCTCTGGGTCACTGTCTGCTCAGCTGGAGAAGGGCCCCTGCTGCTCTCTGCCTTGCAGGGCCACTAGAGGGTGAAATGAGGGACCTGCACAAGGCGTTTCTAAGTAGACAGTAAGGCTCAGTGCACAGCGCCAAGGCATCCTTGGGCTCCCTCAAAGGGGCTGGTGATGAGCAGGCTGGGTTTGCAGCAGCCGCTGGAGAGAGCTGGCCTAGGCTGGGAGCCTGGCCCTGCTGAGGAATATCTGACTTCCGAGTAGCTGAGTGTAAAGGGCTCCCCAGGCCAGATGAAATGCCATGCAGGAAGGGGAGTGGATCCTAGGGCACCTCTGGGGTGACACAGAATGGTTGTCCAGCGGGTCGAGAAAGACCCATAGATAGATCTTCCCAGCCACATGTGGCTCCCACCAGGCCGACCCAAGCCCTGGCCTCTCTCCTAACTCAGAGTGGCCCAGGAAGCCTCCAGATTTCTATCAGCTTCTAGGCAACAGCTGGACAGCTCGGAGGTGCTTGACTCCACCTCTGCGCTGCACTTGGCGTAGGAGGGCGCTTGCAAGCGGAGCTGGGGGCCCATGCAGGGGCGGTGGGCTGGGGCTGGGCCTGGGCGCCCGGCGCCGGCCAAGGCTCCGCGAACCCGGGTGTGCAGAGGACGGAGGAGGGCTCCGTGGGAAGAGCTGCACGCTCGACCTGAAGGATAAAGGAAATCTCTCCTGCCAAGCGGGGGCGAAGGCCATCTCTGGAGAGAGGCCTGGCGCCCGCGGGGTGCTAGGGCGCACAGCTCGCAGGTCTGGGGCGGGGGCGCCGGCGCGGGCCAGGCTCCACCGCACAAAGGCGGGCGGCAGGCGGGCGGCGCTGCCCCCTGGTGGCCGAGCGCCGCTCAGCGGCTGCTTTGTTCGGGGAGCCGTTCTCGCTCTGGCGGGCTCCAGCGCTGGAGCTCCGGGTTTGCGGGAGCGGTGCCGGGGCGCAGGGCGGGGCGGCTGGCGCTCCTCTCAGTCTCAGTGTCCCCAGGTGCAAAAGGGAAGCCAGGAGCCCCGCGGTGCCGGGATTGACCGGGTTACCGGCGCCCGCCGCGGCCTGCTCAGGCTGCAGCACAGGCGCACACACCAGCTCCGCCACCGGCGGACGGAGGCTGCCTCCCCCCGGCCCTGTGCGGGCACCGTGAACGAAATCCACCAGCACAGCCCTTCGGTGAGTGGAGCGCAGTGAGGGAGCCGGGGGAGGGGAGCAGGCGCCAGGCTGCGCGCGCCGCGGTGACCCCAGGCCTCTGCTCCTGCTCCCCTCCTGGCGTTCGGTTGCCTTCACCTCCCCTGGCCTCCTCTGCAGCCGGCCGCAGCCCGCTCTGAGAACAAAAGAACACCTTTCGGTCCTTTGGAGTGCCCTGCAGCCTCCCCTACACTTCCAAACACTAACACTAGTCCAAAGCAAATAACACCTTCCTCCCCAGCAGGACTCCGGTGAATGAGGGTTCGTCAGCTCCAGCAGGCTGGAGGTGAATTCATGCTCATTATCTCCTTTCTGATGGCACATCCGCTCTCCCCTCCACACTCACCTGAAGCCATTGTTTAATGTGCCACCAAACGGGGTGGAGGGATGGAGGGAGAGAATGAAAAGGAAGAGGGTGAAGGAAGATAAGAAAGAGAGGGAAGAAATACAAGAGAAAAGATGAAGAGAAAATTGGTTCATTAGGAGTGCCATAGGAAATATTACAGACCTCCCAGGAAGGAAGGAAGGAAGGAAGGAAGGAAGGAAGGAAGGAAGGAAGGGCTATTCTAGTATTTCCCCCTGCCAGCCTTTATGTGACGTAGTGACTAAACTATAGGTAGTGCCTTGAGGAGCAAATAACCACCTGCAAATATTCAAAGTAGGTGCAGGGATTATAGGTGACCCATACCTATAATCCCAGCACTCTAGAGGCAAAACTGAGGCAGGAGAATCACCTCAAGTTCAAAACCAGCCTGGGTTACAATTAAGTTCAAGGGCAGCCTGAACTGCATAGTGAGATTCTGTGTCAAAAAGATCATAAACAAACAAAACTTTAAATAAATAAAGTAACATCCAAAGTGTGATTTCCCATGAATGCTTGGATTTCCATATCGTCTGGAAAATATGCCGTAGGTCCACTTTCTGACCCAGCAGAGCTCACTTTTGATAGTGCATGAGTTCTGTGGTCCCCACACTGTCCACTTTCCCACTCATTCCTCGTCCTTAGCTTTTTGACATCTCAGGAGCTGAGCCAAGCAAGAGGCCTGTGGTCAGCTAGAGCATTCTAAGCAGTGGGGAAGGCGAGGAGAATGTTCCAGGAGAACACAGATTCAAATCCAGGTCCTAGCATCTGCAAGCCACATGTGACTTTGGGTGAGTGATTACCCCATCTGAGACTCAGTTTCTCCTCTGGTGAAGAAGCTATAATAGAGGCTCATGAAATAATCTTGGGCCAAAAGTCCTGGCACGTGGCAGACTCTACTATGGGCCTGGCTCTGTGGCTGTGACAGCTTTGGCAGATTCCATACAGCTTGGCACTGGCTTGGGCTGCAGCGCCTCCCTTCCACACCAGTACATACCAGAGGAAAGCACCTCCAGACCGTCTTTTACATGCCAGCACTCAGTGGGCGGCAGTGGGTGAGTTCTGGGCTCAGAGTCAGGGATCTGAGATAAACCCAGCTTCAGCTTCGTGGTGTTAGCACTAACCCTGGGCAAGTGATTTCCACCTGAGCTCCCCAGAAAGGAAATGGGAGGGAGCAGGAGCAGCATGGTTGGGGCACCAGTGTAGGGAGGGAGACTGATAGCTACCAGGTATCCCACAGTACTGAGCCTCTGTTATACCCAGCAAGATTAGGAGATGCTGTAAAGGACCCTGAGCCTGTTAAACTTCACGCCAACCCGCTCCTTGTGCTGGGATTATACCCATTACACTTGAGGAAACTGAGGCTAAGATAGGAAATCGGCAGGAAGATTGGAGAAAGATCTGGAATCTGAGCCAGGTCAGGGCTGCGCACTTTTCCTTCTGTAAAGCTGCATTCAGAGGGGGACAGAATCCCTCTGAGTACCATTTCTAAGCAGCTGATCAGATCTTCCAGGTCAAAATTCCTCAAGCCAACTCCACTCACAAGAACAGAACAAGGGTTCAGTGTGTCTATCAGAGTATTTTGGGGGGAACTTGGATCTGAAGAAAAAGTCAGGACATATGGTTATTTGACCAAAATCCTTTGATGCTGCACCAGTGTTTTAGGGAACTAATGGGAAATCTTTCATTTATTCCCTGTTGACTTGTTCACCCAGTGCTGTGCTTCTTCATCCATCTCCTCAGGATGCAGTTACCGAGTGACCGCCAGTCACAGCACGCAGAGGGCTAATGACTGGGGACTTACAGGAAAATGAGAGTGGGCGAGTGGGCGTCTGCCTTCCTGGAGCTTCCATGTGGACGCGGGGAGACAGTAAAGAAAAACTTGCAAGCCTGGCGTGGGATTCTGAGCACTAAATAACAAGCCAGCCACCAGGCTACAGAGTCAGCTGGAAGTGAGGGGACAGGGTACTATGAGTAAGGTGACCCTCATCGTGGTGGCCGTTGGCAAGGACTATGGGGGTTTAGGAGCCAGCTTGTGATAAGCAGAAGGGCGTGCTAGAGGGAGGGAGCGGAAGGTGCAAAGTGAGGAGTGGCTAACACACTGCAGACCTCGGCCACACCCAGTTTCTGTGTGCAGACACAGAAGAGACGCAGTGCCAGCATCACAGTGTCACGGGGACTGTCCCCTGTCTGCCCTCAGCTCCAGGCAGCCGGGAGAGTGCAGAAGCTCACTTTTCGGTACTGTGATGTAGGGGCTGCCACTGTCCTGTCCCCCACTTAGAGGTGGGAAGGCCAGGCTCAGAAAGGGGCGAGCTGGCAACTGTGAGCTCCTGAGCTGGCCACCTCTGTCTGGGTGGACAGCTGAAGACATCCAAAGCTTTGCTCAAATGTGATGACCTCTTAAGACTGGGTAAGGCTACAGGTGTCCCCTCCTTATGTCCTGCTGCTGCTGGACACAGCACAGGCTGTTCAGAGATGGACTCACCAGTGCCTATCACGCTGAGCTGCTACACGATGACAGGCAGCTACGCCTGTTATGCAGGACTAAGGTGGGCACCTCCTGCCAGTGGGGGCCCTGCACCTCTGGCCAGTGTAAGGAAGCGCTTGTAGGGGGGCACATTAGAAAATTGCCTTGTCTCCCCTCTCGGCAGCCCCATCGCGGTACTTAGGCTTGGCCCAGGGGAGGAAACTGAGGTTCCATCCACCCTTGCTTCCCAGTCTGAAGCCCTCAGGGCAAAGTGTGGGGTGCACTCAGACACTGCCACCCAGGATCTAGCATTCATTTGTCATGTGCTAAACACGAGCTGATTCTGAGATCAATGAGCTGTTTGTTTGTGTGAAGGATCCTGCAGTCTGTGTGCCACCAGAGTCTCCAAGAACTGGAGGTAGCAACAGGGAATCTGCAGCAGCAGCTCAGAGAGTGGAGGGAGACTTAGGTTAGAGCCATCCCAGCCCACTCAGAGGCAGGCGGTGTGGGGGAGGGGCAGGCCAGACCCACCCCCACCCCGCACCGGAACCACACCTGTCACTTCAGTGTCACTGCTGGGCTGAATGAAGGAGGACAGGCTGGTAACATCACTTGGCCCAAGATTAAAGTCCCAGCTTGTTCCCTGATTCACTGGGTAGTTTGAGACAGTCACTTTCCTTCTGTGTCCTTCAGGGCTTGCTATCTATGTATCTATCTACCTATCTATCATCTATCTATCTATCTATCCATCTATCTATCATCTATCTACTTTCTTGTGATCTATCATCTATCTATCTATCTATCTATCTATCTATCTACCTATCATCTATTTATATATATTTTTGAGATAAGCTCACTCCAGGCTGGCTTCAAACTCGAGATCCACCTTCCTCAGCCTTCTTAGCGTGTCACACCATGCTCAGCCCTTGAACTATCTCTGTTAAATGGAAATGAGAGTTTAGCCTTAAAGAGAGGGCCTCCCACGAAGGGGATGACACCGTAATCCTGTGCAGTCTATAATAACAATACCAGCAGTGTTGCTGAGAGCTCACCATTTGCCAGGCACGCTCTGAGCTCTATGTATTTTGTCACCGAGTCACAACAAAAGCTCACGAAGCTGGTACCGTTATACAGACAGGGAAACAACTGTAAGTAGTGGACCCGCTTGGCCTAAAATGGAGCATGCCAAGGTCTATTATTGTTATTCTCCGTCCTGAAATCAAAGCTCTTTTGGGTTTGAAGTTTGTGTTCTTCCTGTTCTTCACTTCTATTTCCCAAGAGAGTGTTCCAGGTCCCCCCGGAAGAGCCCTGGGATGGGCCCATTGCTGGTGGGCTGGGAGCTCTGGCCCAGCCATTCCTAGGCGTGCAGATGCCTTGCCTGTGGTAACACTGCCCTCCAGTGGTGCGTAACCCCTACTGCGCTTCTCGGGCTATGCAGACAGAATATTCTTCCACGAGGGGAAGATTTCCTGTGAGAAGCCAGAGACTCATGGGACTCCCTTGTGCTCACTAATTAATGTTTGTGCACACACTTCCTACTGCAGGAGAAGAAAGGTATTCGTGGGCCTCTGGGGACAGAGGCTTTTCCTGGAACACTGTTTTCAGTCCTTGTGGCAGCCACATGCTGGTGAACACTGTTCAGCCACTTTCTGGGCCGGAACCCTGATGTGCAGTATTTGCCCACTTCCCTGGTGTAAACATTACCACTGTGGCCAATTCCAAAGAGCCAGTGTGAGACCACTAAGTGTAGAGCTGCAGAAAGACACCCACAGTCAGCTTCAGGGTGCCAGCCTCTGCTGGCTCCAGGTGGGACGCTCTGGGGAAGTCACTATGCTTGGTCCTTCTGAGTCTTTAGATCTGACCATGCTCAGGGGTAAGCCTTCTAAGTATTTTTTTGTGCTCACACATATATTCATATCGATTGGAGAAGTTTCTGTTTGTTTTGTTTGAGAAGTAATAAAGATGATATCTCACGTTTCTCTGCAGCCCAAGCTTATGTTCCAAGTGTGTGACTGTCCTTTGGAGGGACCACCTTTATGGTGTCACCCAACCCAGGAATGAAGGACTCATTTCCTCCTTTATTTTTTTCACATTTAGTGATGAAATAGCACCCTTCATACTTCTATTTTTAAATCTACATGATAGATTTTCCAAAGCAATATTTCAAGACTAAAAGAGAAGTGTTTATGAAACTATGTTATAAATGTCCAGAAATGCTTTCTAAAATAGTTGTGGCAGTTAACACTCCCACACGAGTGGATGAGGAAATCTACTTTCCCACATCAGAAATGGATTTTTTGAGACTTGCAAATCTAGTGGTGGAAATGATACTGTGTTGTGTTTTATCTTGCATTTTCCCGATGGTGAATGATTTGAGTTTACCTTCGTATACCTTTGGCTCATTTTTAGATTACACTGTTTGCATTTTATTTAATAATCTACAGGAGCTTCTCCTGTAGAGTCATGTGCCATATATAATACTCCTATATCAATGTATACAATGATGCCAGGATGCTTGGATGAAGCTGAAAACTTCCTGGTACCTAGTGGCATCATAGCCACTGTGATGTCCTAGTAGAACACATTAGATGTCTGTGCTGATTCTGGTATGAACAAACCTCCTGTGCTACCAGTAAAATCATAGCAGGTTTAACTATGTACAGTGCATCATATTTAATAATAAATGACTATTAACCAGTTTATTATTTACTATGCTAAGCATTTGTCAATATCTCCTAATGATTTCATCCGTCTTTTATGAGTGCTTTTTGTAAAAGAGCACACCATGTGGTGCTAGCAGCAGCCTCATCCATCCCAAGTTTCCCACATCTCATGGCATCAGAGGCCACCTGAGTGCCTGATCTGGACCTACAGGAGGCCACACAGTCTGTGATGCCACTCATGGATGAAGCCATCAGCAGTGCAGTTCTTTTGATGTACCAGTTAAGTGGCACGTGACTCTACTGTGAAATATTGGCCCTCTGTCCTACATGCAATACATTTCCTGACCTCTTTAAGAAGATGCTACTTCTCCAAAGTTATTTTCCTAAAATGTCTCCCATTATTGTCTTTTTTTATATTGAAGTTCTTTGTGCACTTTGAATCTTTGAATGTGATGAATATGACCTAGTTTTTGTTTTCTTGCAGAAATATAGTGCCATCTACTCCTGGAAATGAAATGGCACCGTCTAAAACATCAAATTTCTATGTGAAAGGTATGTTTCTAGGTATCTTGTCATGTATTAACTTTCTCCTGTTGTTGATTGTCCTATTCTACCTTTTTGTCTGATGTGCTATGCCTTGTTCCTTTGGTGATGCCATACTGTCTTTATTATAATAGCTTTGAAGTATTTTCCCTTCTCAAGAACATATTCATATTTGTCAACTTTTTATCACTGAAACACAGTACCAAACACCTACAGCTTAAAGAGATAGAGACTGGATCTACTCATGGTTTCAGGGAATTCAGTCCATGCTTAGTCCGTTCAAGGCAAAAACATCATGGTAGAAGGACATGGAAATGCAAAGATGCTTAGCTCATGGCAGCAAGCAAGCAGAGCAGGGTTACAGTGTTGAAGAGGAAGGGGAGAGGGGTGAGGTATAGTACCCTGGTTATGCCTCCTTGACCCATCCAGGTACACCCAGAAGTGTGCTCTACAAATCCTCTCTTGGCAACTCCCAAGCTGACAATACAGCCCAACTGTCACAGTATTGATTTTTCTCATTTGTCACATGAATTTTTTCCTTTTTAAAAAAATATTGAGATTTCAATTGGAGATATGAATTTGGCCACAAATGGATTTTTCTTCTGTTCCCTATTCAGGACTCTAAAACTTTTTGATGCTTATTAATAGATCTGTATAGCTTTTTCCATCATAGATACTGGATCTGTTGTTTTAATTGGTTTCTGGGTATTTTTTTGTCTTTAGAGTAAATGATTTCATTTTCATTCTTTTTTTATTCATTTTACTTTTACATGGCTAGGGAAGAAGTCTGGATTGATTTCATCGGTACCTTTCAAGAAGGCATAACTGGGGAGATTTTCTTGCTTGGTCTGCAGAACACTCACCTTCACCAGGCCACTCTGTGTGCACAGCAGAAATGACAGCTGCTTCAGCAGCCTCCTGGGTAGCATCCTGTACTCTTACCCATCCAGGGTCCCAGCAGGGTTGGTTTGGGGGGCAGCATCCTCAAGGGGAAGGCTTGAAGAGTAAGCGATGCCTGGCCTCTGATGTTAGATTGAGTGGCAGTTGGATGTGGCTGCTGGATGGGAACTGGGTCTTGGGCCGAGCTCCTCTCCTTGATGAGCTTCTGTTTTCTCACCTATGAACCAGGTATAATAAAGTATGACTCACAGAGCTCCATACATCCTAGGAGCCCCATGAAGTTCCCTTTCTCTTTTACCTTCTTTACTGAGGATAAAGTTAATTACTCACAACACCCACGTCTTCCCTTCTGACTTTCGCTGTCCTCAAATGCAGAGTCTTTGGAGCACATCCCAAGGGTACTTCCCCTGGAGGGACCATGGCTCACCTGTGCACCAGCTGCTGACTTCCGGTGAAACTGGAGTCATCCATGGTCACTCTGTCTCTACTCTGCAGCCACAGGTCTGCCCTTAGAGGCTGAGTCAGTATGATCCGGCTATCATAAAAAGAGAAACTATGTCCATTGGGGACTTGCAAAGACTTCTCACAGCATGGACCTGCTCATTGTGCCTCTTGTTTCCAGGCTATTCTTTTTAGCTGAAAAGAGGAAGAGGAACGACAGAGCTGGAAAATCCACTTCCCCTCCAAAGCTCAATAATGATCATCAGTGACAGCTAAGACTACAAGGAACAGATCACTGTGGCAACTTAGACCTGATGGATCAGAATGCAATGCTTTAACACAGTGGACAATTGTAGCATCACCAAAGGGAAAAAGCACCCAGACATGGCAAATCTCAGCAAGAAGGATGTAATAGGACCTAGCAAGGATTCTTGCCCAAAATAGTTGGGATTTAATCAAGCTTCCAGCAATAAGTTTTAAGGATACACATGGGAGAGAGGAATTTTCAAGCAATGTCAATAAATCAGTCTGGGGCTGGGGATTTAGCTCAGCGGCATAAGCGCCTGCCTTGCAAGCAGGCAGTCGTCGTGAGTTTGATCCCTGGTACTGATAAAAAGGAAAAAGACAAAATAAATAAATAAATAAATAAATAAATAAATAAATAAATCAGTCACAGCTATAATGTGAGAAATTCCCAGGAAAAAAGTGACCCCTTTTCAAAAGAGCAAACAAGTGAAGCAGTTTAGAGATTTAATCATTAATAAATTAAAAGAGAATTAAGAAATGTGAAGAAAAAGGAAAGTAATGTTGGGTCCTGTGTTTGGATCCCAGTTCTGATAAAACAACTGTAAGACATTGGAGACAATGGAGAAAAATGAACTTACACTGGGTGTTGATGCTACTCAGGAATATGGTGCATTTTGTTGGATATGATTATAGTTGTGCTGTTTACAAGTTATTAAGTAACAGAAATCCATGCACCCCAATAACCAAATCTAGGCTTTTCGACTAAACGTGGACTGATACTCTCATTCTGCTTTGGCACTCCTTGGGTGATGAGAACACCTGCCCACGCGATGGGAAGGGAAGGGATTTGAACACCTCCTTTTCCTTCACTGCCCTGAAGACCTTCTCTCTTTACTCCTCTCTGTCACACCCCTTTGACGCCTCGCCTCTGCCTACCTCTCTCCATCTCAGGTCATGCTCGCACCTCATCGGGCCCCCACATCACAGTGACCTTCTCTGACTCCTGCACACAGTGGCCAACGTGACCCTTTAAACCTTGGCTATGTGGGTTAGAAAAGCACTGGTCACTGTAAGATACTCTCAAATTCTCAAATAGAGCCCATGGGATTCTATCTGTGTCTCCCGGCACTATCTGAGGTTCTTTTTGGGTGGAGACTTCCTTCCATGAGGTCAGGAGGCTGGATGCCTTTATTTTATGACTCTCTCTTTCTTCCGGATCTTATAATCCTTTGAATCCTGTGGTGGAAGGGGCAGATAGAGCCAAGAAAAAACACCTGGTTCAGCAGAGATCAGCACACAAGTATCTGCCCACCTTTCAGGGATAGTAGTTAGTCATGTGATCAGCATGGCAAGCAAGGCAGACTGGGTAATGTAGTTTTGCTTAGCTGGGCCGTTGTCCTCCCAGAACAATGCTACATATGCAGCTTCACTTGTGGAAGAGGTAACATTGGCAGTATTACAGAGGGATTAGAACATTCCTGGTACAGCAGTAATAAGTGCGGTGGGGGTGCAGAACCACTAGAGGGGAAAACTGCCGGAACATTAGCAAGAAGCCAGGGAGGATGAAATGAATCGTTGTAGTCGCCATTTTATTTGTCACCATCATACCCTACATTGTGGATTAGCATGTGTGCACGTGAACATGCACGTTCACGCATGCATCTGTGTGTGTGTTCACATGGCTTGTCCTTGATTATGAAGTTTCAACTTATAATATTTTAAATTTATATAGTATGAAAGTGACACATTTGGTAGAAGCAATGGGTTTAGATTTTGATCTTTTCTCAGACTATCTATATGTATATAGCAGCCTATAGCAATCTGAGGATTTGGAAGTAACCCCAGACTCAAATTACTGGCAACAGAAAGAATGCCCTCAGACCTGGGGCATAAGATCTCCATAAGGCGAGTTTCCCTCCTGTAGGAAGCATGAGGTGGCGAGTGCACAGAACAAAGGGTGTTGTCCCATTTTTCCCTAATGCTGAGGAAGCAGCTATGTCTTAAATTGTTGGCTGAATTCAAAGGGTTGCAGTCCATCCTGGCTGGCTAATTTAAGGAGCAGGAAGGATTGCTGGGCAGGCTTGCTGAGGGAGGGGAGAACGGGGGTGTGAGGCACCGAAAGCCCTTGGTTGCTGTTAAGTTATGTTTGGCTGTTAGCTGTGCTCCTGGAATCTAAACTGAACAAGCAGTTTTGTAAGTCAGTGCTCAAAACAAAGAAGGATGGGGTGGGCACCTGAATGAATGAGAGTTTATGATGGAGACACTTTTGTTCATATTTGATAGAAAAGACCTTGTTTCTTACAAGGAAAACCACTAGTACTTCACAGTGTGCTGTGTAGTTAAGCTAGGATGTTGAGCAGGTTAGATGTATTCAATGCATTTTTGACATATTCAATTAATAATGGCTTAATCAGCATATAACCCCATTTTAAGTCTCTCTCTCTCTCTCTCTCTCTCTCTCTCTCTCTCTCTCTCACACACACACACACACACACACACACACACACACAGTCATGTTCCACCTAGGAATATCCTTAGGGAAGCTGTGAAATTTTTTAGTTTTACTCAGTGTCAACTCTTGCATGCATAACTTTTTAGATATCACACCTGAAAACTTGGAAGAAGGGATAAAGAATTTTTGTTTTACAGTCAAGGAAAGTAGTTTATTGAGGAAAAACACTTAAGTTTTGAGTTCAGGTATCCACTTACTTTGTGGCCGACCATTTAATTTGAAAACATGACTGATAAATAATTCACACTTGAGAATTTGGCATTTTCCTCACAATGGATAAAGTTAGCCTGTCACTTCAAGGAACAAAAGTGGCGGCATTTATTTCCACTGACAAAAAATTTGGTCTGGCAAGTGAACATTTGATCCTGCAAGAATTTATCACCATGAATTTGACAATTTCCCAATAATTAAACACTCTTCTGATAAGAGATGTGGGGAACTTAAAGGTTTCCTTGTTTTTTAATTTTTATTGATTGATTGATTGATTGATTTTTTTTGTTCCATGAGTTGAACTCAGGATCTTCTGCTTGCCAGGCAAGCACTTATGCTGCTGAGCTGTATCCCCAGCCCCTCTTTAGACTTTTGAAGATGACCTATGGCCACATTTGGAGCTGTGCGTGATCTCATGAGATGCAGGTGACTCTGTGAGCCACTCTTTCCAAATGGCCACTGTACAGTGGCACGGTCATGCACAAGGAAAGATTCATGCAAGACAGAACAATGAATTTCATATGAAGGAGCAGAAGACAACTCAATGGTGTGGTTTCAAGTTCCAGGGTCATTTCAACCTGAAACCTGAAACCACTTGTCAACTTTGAGTGTAAGTAATATCAAAGAATATGCACAGTTACATAAAAGGGGCTATTTCAATTACTCCTTTTTCCAACTTTTTCAATTTGTGAGACAGGTTTGCTTCACGTACTTCAATCAATATATGAGGTGTAATTGAAATATATGGCAAATGTTTAAATAAAAAATATTGTTACAATAAAAGACGCATTACCATGAATCTCCCTCAGAATATTCTGCCTTGTTTCAACGTACTTACCCCATTATTCTTGCCACTTTCTGAAGTTCAAAAGTCTTCTTTTATGAGTGTTTTGCAAGGTGTGATTAGAAAAAATGCAGTGAATCCTGCTGAGTACCACTCAAAGGAAATCAGGCTCGTACAAATACTACTGCGTGTCTTCTCCTCCTTATTCTCAGGGTCTGGCGCCACAGGTTTTCTAGTTCTTTCTCCAAGTCCAGACAACAAGGAAAAGCGAATGTTTTGAGTTGATTCAGGACATCAAGGGAGCCAGGATAGCACAACTAAAGCCATGAAAAAGGACTTCCAGAGCTGCTTTAGAGACTGTTAAGAGTGATGAGCTAAGTGTATTCAAAGCCAAGAAAGTATTTTGAGGCAGCCTGATGGCAGTGTGTCTTTTACCGTAACAAACTGCAAACATTTACCATTTTTCGTTGGTGCCTCATATCTCAAAGGATTAAATAAAAAACAGAAATAAGAATCCAATTGTCTTCTACTAATCCAGATAGTAAAGGTATTCGCACACACACACAAAAGAACAGTGCCACTTTTCCACTAAATTGTTTTGAAAAAATAGTAATAGATAATTCACTTAAAAAGTTAATTGAAGTAAGTATATGACTTTTAACAATTTCAATTTCTAATTCAGTAAATGTGGATTAAAAAGGCAGGAATATTGCTCAACGGCACAAGCACCTGTCTGGCAAGCACAAGGTCCTGAGTTTGATACCTGGTACAAAAACTAAAAGGGTAAATTTATCTCATATAAACAATACTAACAATTAAAACTAAATTAGTAAATATGGATTATACTTCTAAGTAATGTAACAAAGTAATGGTTATAGTATAGAATAATAAATATAAAAATAATGGATAAAATAGTAAATAACAAAAATGTTAAGAAATGCAACCAAAAGTCTAAGAACTCTCAGAGGAACGCCTTCTGACATGTTCCAGATGGCCCTCTGCTTAGTTGTGACAATTGCTGAATGGCGTCATCAGTGGCTCGTGTTACAGTAACTGACGAGAATGAACTATTCAGGGACAAGATCCAGCTCACAGATCAAGAGCTCTTTGCACAAGAACAGCCTATTCCCTCTTTCCGCCCCATTGAGTAGGGTGTTTTCCCGAGTAAACAGCCATATCTCCATGCCCATGCAGTCAGAGGTGGGAATACGCGTCATAATGATCGCTGACACTAATCTGGTGCCCGCAGTGAGGTAGACCCTTTGTACCAGTAGGGTGCTTATTATGCTCTCTGGCAAAGACTTCCTCTGTGCTGGGCCTTATGCTGGCACTGAAAAGATAGAGATAAATGAAAGCGTGGGTCCAGCTGCTACCTGTCTTTTGAGAGGCAGAGCGATGGTAGCTAGGTTCATAGAGGTGGCTACTGGCGAACTGAGTTCAGATCCCTGTTCTACGGTGTGCTTTTCTGTAAACCTATGCAAGCTGTTTAATGTCTCCAAGCTTTACTACTTGTCTCATCTGTAAAAATGGGATGGTGATGTCTATTTTGTTAGTTCCTTGTGAGCATTAAGCACATTAACAAAGATAACCAAAGTCCTTAGGGTAACTCGGAAATCCAAAATCCAAGCATGATGTGTTTGGTTTTGATCAATAATGTTTCCCACTTTTTTTCTATGTGGAGACTTCCTACCACCCCTGCAGCTGCAGATGCCCTTGGTTCTTTTCTTTGGCTTCCCTTGCCCCTGACAAGACGATGAGAAATACTGTAAGATGAAAATGTTCTTTCTTGCCTTTAGACGGTTTTGTGAAGACATGGTGCTGGGATGGGAAACAAACATCTTATAACCACAACAAAAGCCAAGAGAATCTGGGAGGACATTGTCAGTCTGCTGAACTAACTGAACCCAGGTCTACCTGACTCAAGTTTTATGCAGCAGCTAAAACCCAGAAGCTGAATTATTTACGTATGGATGGACAGCTTGAAAGAAGTGGATGATATTCCATCTCAGGCCTCCAAACCAGATACATACAGGATACGCACTTCAATTTGACTTAAGCATTTGAACTTCTTTTTATTGGCTAATCTGACAGCCCTGTAGATTAGGAAACCTTGTTACCCTGCAGAGCTGCCCTGAATTCCCCCAGAATGCCAGCCGCCTTCATCACAGAGGCAAAAGCAGAGCATTTGGCCAAGGCTTTAGCCTGGGAATAAATAGGGTGGGTCATGAACACCTGTCTGCAGCCTAGAGAGCACAGGGCTACGGCAGCTGCAATGGGACAAGTTTATTAACCTCTTGGACTCTTATTTGCCATCCTGGAAACTGACAATAATATGAGTACTGACTTAAGAGAACTGTTAGACCATACATATCCGTGCAGTGCTTGATACTAAGTGCTCCATAAAAGCCTTGGGGCTCAGCTAAGCCTTCCTTTTCCTCTTCATAATGCTACTAGGTATTATTACTATTTGCATCAACATCAGCGTCATGCATTTAGCAGTCCTAATCTGAAAATCCAACACCTAAAATGCTTCAAAACTTTCTGAGCACCAGCATGACACTGCATCACAAATTCAGCATAACAGAACTTGCTTCATATACAAAGTTACTAGATATATTGTATAACATTATTTTAAGGTTGTGTATAAGATGTATATGAAACTTGAATTTTGTGCTTGGAATAGGGTCCCATCCTCAGGACATATATATATGCAGCTTTCCCTCCCCTCCCCTCCCTTCCCCTCCCTCCCCTCCCCTCCCCTCCCCTCCCCTCCCCTCCCCTCTCCTCCCCTTCCCTTCCCTTCCCTCCCCTCCCCTTCCCTTCCTTTCCCTTCCCTTCCATTTCTCTTCTCTCTCCTTTTACTCATTCAAAATCAACTCTAATGCATGATGTGGTTGTTTTGACTATACTAATAACCGAAAATTTTTTAAAAGACTCTGAAATCCAAAGAGTTGGTCCCAAGCACATCAGCATCAGGGACAAGCGATACTCAATCTGTATAGGCAATGGGCGGTGCTTGTTCTGTGGGGTTACTGCTGTTTATTAAGCAGTTCCCGGGGCCTCTCCTTTGAAATGGCTTGTCTTCATTCTGCCAGCAGGGGGCACCCTTGTCTAACGAAGAGGTCCAGCTGACTTCCCAGCCAAGTACAGCCCGTTACTCAGACATTAATAATACATCTGGGATCAGGTTTTTCCGCCAAGCCTGAGGGCACTTGAGAGGGAGCCCTTTAGCCTGCCTCTGGGCCCCAGGTAATAACTCAGCTTATCATGCTGCAAACTGTTACTCTTCCATCCATATCAGAGCTGTCCTAGCTGAGGAGCCTGGCCCTCGCCTGTTGTTTGGGAGCTGCCAAGTTCATAGGCTTTTCCTCAAGCTCATTTGAAAAAAACAGGTATGAAATTTTCTGAATCAAATTAGAGGGTAAGCATTCTAGCTTGATTCCACCTTGGAATCCGGACAGGCCTGGGCCTGTTTGGAACAAGCCTGAGCAGTTCTCCACTAAGAGTCAATTTAGGGAGACTTTTAGCTCTTTGTTCTGGACTAAAGGAAAAGAAGAAGGGGCGGGGGGGCAGTGGCCAGCACCCAGGGTCTGTTTTGAATATCGTCCTTGGGGCTCATCTAAGACTCCTCTAGCTGAGTCCCGGGGGCCTGTGAAGAGGGGCTGTGAGGGCTGGGAATCCCTGAGCCAGAGAGAACCCCTTCCTCCCAGCCTGTGTACACAGGGGCTGCTGTGAAGATCTGAAGATCCAGGGCTCCTAGCAATGTGGGAAAAGAAACTATTGGCTTATGGTGCTGGAGGCCAGGAAGCCCAAGAGAGGGGGCTTGCATGTGGCAGGGTCTTCTCATGTGGCATCGTGTAGAGGAGGCCAAGGAAAGAGCAATGAGAACCAGCAAGAGGGAGCAGGACTTGCCTTTTCTAAGAAACCCTCTCCCAAGATAATTAGCCCACTTCGGGGACAGTGGCAGACACAGTCATGCAGGCAGAGGCCTCCTGGCCTCCGGGATTCTTAAGGGTCCCACCTCTTAATACTGTCAAGATGGCAATTGGATTTAATGTGAGTTAGCGAGGGGTAGCTCTTCACACCAGAGTGGCTGGCATATTTTTCACTCCCAGGAGAAAATGCAGAAATGGGCAGCCCTTTCCTAGCTGGCTCTGTAGATGACGTAACATGTCCTTAACTGGCAAAATGGCTTGAGCCCTGCTATGGCAGTGGAGTGTAGCACGTTAGATTTGGAGTTGCACAGTTATGAATCAAAACTTGGATCCACCTCTACCAACATGGTGTTTGTAAAAATAACCAATCTCAGCCCTCTGAGACACTGTTTCACCTGCAAAATGGAGGTAGAGATGTCACTTTCAGATCTTTGGGCTTAATAAGACCCCTTCCCTTCCCTTCCCTTCCCTTCCCTTCCCTTCCCTTCCCTTCCCTTCCCTTCCCTTCCCTTCCCTTCCCTTCCCTTCCCTTCCCTCCCCTCCCCTCCCCTCCCCTCCCCTCCCTTCCCTTCCCTTCCCTTCCCTTCCCTTCCCTTCCCTTCTCTTCCCTTCCCTTCCCTATTTCTCTTCTCTCCCCCTCTTATTCATTCAAAATAAACTCTAATGCCTGATGTAGTTGTTTTGACTAAGCTAATAACCTAAATGCACTTATTCTTTGCTAAGTCAATTCACGGCCATTGTGATGATTAGAATCAAATGTGCATTCAAAAAGTAATAATCTCTGTGCATCTGGTAGACACAGCTTCACTGCAGCTGGACTATTCCTTTACAAAACCAAGATAGGCTAAGGATCCCCACAGACGCATCTGGTTTTCATCAGTTTTCCATGAAACCAGACTTTTGCTCCATTTTGTTATCATTGCTGACCAAACCAATTTGCTCCTTCAAGTCTACAGCTTTCACATCCTCATTTCATGAAAAGGACAGTTAAAGAGCTGAACCAAAGAGAAATTAGAGTCTGCTCTGGATAAAATATGTGTTTGCTGAAGATGTGGCCAGAAGATGACCAACCAAAGTCTTACCTGGGGAAGCTGGGACAAGGAAGAGAGAACTGGTCTGAAGAAAGGTATGTTGTGTCTTCCACAGCCAGAGGACAAGAGGCAGACCACGTCTTCTGTAATGTCTGAGAACAGAAGAGCAGAGGTCTATTTATAAAAGCCAAATGCCTCTGCCATAAATGCCATCCATATCTGCACAAAGAGAAGAGCTAGTGGGCACTGATGAGGCAACTGGTACTCATTTTAAGAGGTTGCCTACTCTTGTTATGAAACAGTGTGTGAAATACAGAGAAATAAGCGTAGTGTAGAGAAAGACATAGCATTGTGGCAAGGTCTTGTTTTTATTTGTTCTCTTCAGCCGGTGAATAAGTGCCTTAGTCTGTTTTCTCTTGCTATTATAAAATACCTGAGACTGGGTGATTCCTAACATATAGAAGTTTGCTCAACTCACAGGTTTGTAGGTGTGGAGGTCCCAGAGCATGGCACTGGCGTTTGAGGGGGACCTTTCTGCTATGTCACAACATGGCAGAGAGTATCAGAACAGGCATGCTAACTCAGCTTTCTTTATTCTCTTCTTCCCCTTCCTCTTTTTCTCTTCCTTTTCTTTCCCCTTCTCCTTCCTACTTCTTTTTCCTCTTCCTCTCCTTTCATCTTTCTTTTGTCGCTAATGCTACCATGGGACCCCACACTCATGCTTTCATCCAACCCTAATTACCTCCCCAAGGCCCCTCCTCCAGATGCCACCATCACTTGCAGGGGGTGATTGTTTCTAATGGTGGACTTCTGGAGGCACATTGAAACTCTAGCAGGAGGAAGCTGGAGGGAACAGGGAGGGACGCTGATTCGGGGCTGCTCCTGTGGAGGAAGGTAGACAGGAAGGAGGAGTGAGCAGAGCGTGTCAGACTGCAGTGCAGTTTCTAAAAGCATTTTGAGTAGCTCAATGGGGAAGCCTAGAGCAGTCTCCAGACGGAGGGGACTCACATGAATCAGACAGCACTGTGCTCCTCACTGTTCAGTCTTTGACTGAGGGCAAATGCAGTGAAGAATCCACCAGAGCTGATAATTCACTATGGTCCCACAACAGTGGCTCTGAGTGACATGCTTATATACCATCACAGGTAAAGACTTCACAAATAAAAAGCCCAGAATTAGAGTTCCTGCAAGCTCAACTATGTGTACATTTTCAGATGACATGATTTCTCGTTGTCATGTCTGTTTTCCTTGGAATGGGCTCCATTTTCCAAAAGGCATTTTCCCTGTGGTAAAAGATAGCTATGAAGAGCTCTGGGCTCACCTCCTTGCAGATTCCAATCCAGATTCCTGACTACGTAAGCAAATGCCCAGAAACCACTTTGAGTACCTCAGATTGGATCACGTGTCCATCTCTGAGCCAATCCGTGTCCAGGTGATGCCATTCTCTGATTGGTTAAGCCTGGGTTAATTGCCCCTGCTGGAAAGAGAGGAGGATTCCTTTCATTCATCACAAGACCTGAGAGTGAAGGAAGGTGGTGCCCGGAAGACACTGGACAAAACCTGCGGTGCTGATGGCAGGAAGAAATGGAAATGTGAAGTGAAACTAAATAGATGGTATTATGGTAACCACTGCTGATTTCGTATTGAAGTCCTGTGTCACTTACACTGGTTGGTTGTGATTGGCTTTATTCTGTTTTATTATGCTTGATTTTATTCTCTTTAAAGTTTTTTTTTAAAAAGAAAATAAATAGATATTACCTCTGCATTTCATTTTTATTTTTAATTGGCAAGAATATCAAGTGTAAGATTTTTAAGGCCTTGATAGGATGTTGTTGTCTATAGGCAGTGTTACAGAGCAGGTGTCTAGAAAGTACTTATCTTGCGTAACTGTAACTTTACACCTATTGAACAGGAATTCTCTACTTTCCCCAGCCCTGACACAAACAACTCTATTTTCTTTTCTCCATAAGTTTGACTGTTTTAGAGACCATGCGTAACTAAACCCAAGCAGTGTCTGTCTCTGGCTTATTTCACTTAGTATAATGACGTCCAGAATCATCCGTGTTGTCACAACAACAGGGTTTCATTATTTGTAAAGGCTAAATTAGAGTCCGTCTTTTCATTCATGTACCTACGGTCATTTAGGTTGTTGCCATGTCTCAGCTCTTGTTGGTAATGATGCAGTGAACCTGGGAGTGCAGATAACTCTTTGAGATCCTCATTTTGGTCCCTTTGGGGTGTATCCAGAAGTGGCTACTGGACCATATGGCAGTTCTACATTTAGATTTTTGAGGGAAATCCATGTGCTTTTCCACAGTTGCTAGACCATTTATGTACCCACCAATGTCTTCACGTCCTGCGCAACCCTTGTCTTTGTTTTTGTTTTTGTTTTTGTTTTGTTGCTGTTGTTGCTTTATAATGGCCATGCTAATGCATGAGAGGTGGTGCAGTATCGCACAGTGGTTTGGATTCGCATTTCCTTAATGATGAGTCCCATTGAGCACCAGTTCACATACCCTGGTTACTACAGGGCCCCTTCACAGAAACATCTGTGCGGATCCACAGGCCATTCTTTTTGTATTTCCTCCTAGGACACACTCAGTGTTTGCATTTTCTGCTGACAGGCAGCAAATCATCCCCAGACGGAATGGCTAAATGCAATGGCTCCTTCTTTCCTGTGAATCTGTGAACTCCCTAGACAGCACCTGCTGTCTCAACGTGGACTGATCATAGAATGACCTTTAGCCAGCAGATA